GATTGAACAACAAGAGGGAACAATGAGCAGCCAAAGGACTTGAAAGAATAGGCATGTGGGAAGGGCTATGTGTTGACCCCCGATGGGGGATTGTATGGATCTTCTTGTTTGTGTGGGATTGTGCAGGTAAGTGATGGATAAAGATGCCTTGAGCAGGATAAGGGCAAGTGAAACCGGGCATCAAGAGGGAAAGGGAAGAGGGCGTAGGGGCTATGGGACCCTTGACATAGAACTACCTCATGGATATGACTTGTGCGTTTGAAGACTTGGGGTGCAAATGGGAGTGTTGTCATGCCAAGGAAAAAATGATGTTGTGTGTGCATGTATATGAGGCCCCCAAAAAGACTAAGGGGCCTACGTCAATAAGGCGGGAAACAAATTGAGAGATCCGATGGATGCGTAGAGGCGAAGGGGAGGACGGCCCCAACACACCCCGATGACGCCATATAGCCAAAATGCTTAGGGAAATTGTGCGTGGCCTAAGAATGACGCTTAGCCTACGCACAAGAGAAGAGAAAGGCTCAAAGAACCCTTAGACTGCCTACGTATTGGAAGGAGCAGTTGCTCGAGAACACAATAAAGAATAAAAAAAAATCAGCGTTGCGGAACGACCAACGAGACTACCACCCGGCGTGAGGGCTGAGCTACATCCCAAATGTCAAAGCTCTCTCGCGCAATGGCCCACCCCCATCCATCTCAAAGCACTAGGTGGGGGTGACCTTGGGACGAATGGCCTGCGCCCTGAGCATGTGTGTGGGCGGGCCGAGCCAACTGGGACCCGCAGTGGGGTCGACTAAGGCTCGAAAGTTTACCGGGGTTTGGCCCTACAACGTGAAAACGGCTTTAGGACCAGTCCAAAAAAATTCACGAATTCCCAAGCAAAAGTTCCTAAAAAATAAAGCTCCTCCCGAACATCTAAAATTTGTAGGAAGCCACGTTTGACGGAAGTTTGGCGACACGCGCAGGGCACCATTGTCTTTGACTCCGTAGTGCAGAGGTTGTCCGTCGGGCCTGGGGTCGGACATTGGAGGCCTCCAGTGGTGGGATGAAAGCAACGACCACCATCGGTAGTCGTTGGCTGGCGAAATGGACCGGGGATGGCAAGCGGGGGTGCCCTGTCCTCCGTAGTTGACCGTTGCCTTTGATGCGAAACGCGGAGGAGGATGACGACTTGCGCCATCCTGGTACCGACGATCTGCAGGCAGTGGAGGGGCTCCAACGGTCGGAATTTGAAGCCTTGACTTCCGCCTCTGACCTCTTTTGCATATGGCACCATATGAAGGACCTGCAACTGAATCTATCGGCATGCCGGAGTCCGTGTCCTGTGTGTGCTCGGAACGCTCCATCCAAAACGCACATTCATGGCAGATGTGTGTCGGAGGTTGCCTTTCCTGATACTCACTGTCGTCGTCTTTTTGTTTGTTGTCTTCCTCCACGTGTGTTTGGTGTTTCGACCGTCGAAGCAACACTGCAAACGACGCGCATCCACGAAACGGACTTCTGGTGAACGAGCAAAGACGAACTTCAACGTCGGCAGACAAGCAGCGGCCGCTGGTGCAGGAGGATCAGCCAAGGCGGCCCCGCGATGCCGGTAAGACCCTTCCTTGTACAACCATCTACCTCCGTAGCCTCTGCCCCCATCGGACAAGGAACGGGAAGTGGAGGACCTCGCAACGCTACCTTTGGGTAGTGGGTCGACGCAGATGTGGTCGCAGACGTTGCCAGCTGGTGGGTGCGGGACGAATGGAGGTAGCGAGTTCACATCCCTCCTGCGGCAAGGGTTGGAGGATGACGACGACGAGCAGGTCGATCTGAGGTTCGGCTTGTCGCCTGGCGGTGCGACGCCTGTGACCCACACCTTTATCATAAACCCGGAACCTTCGCTGGGTAGCCTTCACCGTCCTCGAAGTGTGCATACTGAGGAGTCGCCACTTGCATGCGCTACATCCGTCAATGCTGGTGTCGGAGTCGCAACGGGGCCCATGTGCATTGACGATGGTAGTGTTTCGATGCCGTGTAGTCAGACAAGGACAACGCAGGCTGATGTGGGGGACGACGTCGGTTGTAGACCACCACTGTCGCAGTGAGCTAGAGTGGAAAACATCACTCGTGGAGTGTCAAACATGCGGGCACACAACGATGGTGGGATTGATGATGGCATCACTCGATGACGACCACAGAGACACGGAGGACATCGAAGCGGGGGATGAGGAAGAGGACGTCGATATTCGCCCATTAGGAAAGAGCGCGGGGAGGGCGAAAGGATGAGCAAGAGGCAGTGGTCGTGGAGGATCTGGTGGTCATGGCAGCAGAGGTGGCGCTTCTGAGGACGGTGGCAAATCAGCAACATATTGGATAACAGTTGAGCAGATGCTCCTCGTCAGATGCAAGTGGGAGCAACTAAGAGCAAGACATGCAACATGGCTGGGCTGGGTCACAATTACGGTCGGGACGAGGGAGTGGAAGTGGGAAGACATAGCGAAACGGTTGGCCACGTTGGGGACGATAAAAGGCATCGACGATTGCTTTTGAAAGTGGGACAATCTCTTTCAGAACTACAAGAATATATTGAGATTCCAGGGAAAGAGCGGCGAGAAGGATTTTTTCAGGTTGACAAACAAGAAACGAAAGGAGCACAATTTCAAGTTCCGAATGGAAAGGATGTTGTATGCCGAGATCCATGCGAGCATGCTGTGTAATCACACAAATTTTCCTCCTAATGTGGCCGATACTGGTTCTCCTGAAGGGGTGTAGTTGCTGAGGCGAGGAGCGGGAGATGGGGAGTCTGTGGGGAGTGAAGGTGGTGGTGTTGCCTGCGCCGATGATCGGTCGTCGGCCAGGGACTCTGACCAAAACGCAGGTAGAGGGGGCGCGGGCGGAAAGTGGAAGAATGCACGTCAGCAAACGTTCGAGGCAATCGCAGATGTCATGGACCGACATGAACAACTCATGTCATCGACGATTGATTCGTGGAGCAAGCGACAATGCAACATCTTGACTAGGCAATGCAATATCCTGGAGCAGGAGGTTGCAATTCAAAAAGCAAATTACGCGGCCTCATATGAAACGCAGATGATGATGTGTCGGGCGCTAATGGAGATCGCTGCCGCCATCCGCGGTCGATCGACGTCGTAGGCGCTTCCATCGTGCCTCAGTCGGTCGTGTGACTTTCACGCTTCTCTGTGTCTTCCTTCGTTCTCGGAATTTTGTTTATTATTTTTTTAATTACTTTTTAAGATTTGTAGGATTTGTGAGATGTTCATAGGGACACAAGAGGATGGGTTGTTTTGTGCGCCGTATGGTATCACATTCGACCACGTTAGGTCTGGTGGCGTCGTCGCTGTTATTTTTAAAGAAGTTATTTGGTGGTCTGTTTTTTTTTTTTTTTGCCACTAGTTCGTGTTCACAACTGATGAGCCTTTTACTCTCTCTCTCTCTCTCTCTCTCTCTCTCTCTCTCTCTCTCTCTCTCTCTCTCTCTCTCTCTCTCTCTCTTTTACGCTCCTCAAAAAGGAAAAGGTCTTGAGGACGGTGTGTAAATGTGGACGTGGCGAACCCCAATTTTCATTTCGTCGGTGGAAAGCAGAACATGTTATATTTTCAATCATGTTTTCGTGTGCTTCGGCAAAATGTCATTTCCTTCCCCTATTTTTTTCCTTTTTTCATTTCCGACGGCGTGTGCTTCTGTATTGCGGGGTTTTTTTTTTTTCCCTTTTCTTTTCGTCTTTCAAATTGGAAGCGCAGTGGATGGGGGTCTCTGTGAAGATGTGACCGACAAGCAGCGTCTGAAATAGAAACGTTTAAATATGCAGCTCACCCACCCGGGAGATGTGCTAGCCGGCTTCCACACACACACACACACACAACCGGCTTCCACAAACACACTCACACCCGACTTCCGAACACACACACACACACACACACACGCATACACACACACACACACACACACACACACACACACACACACACACACAACCACCTTTCTCGCCAGTGATCATCAATACATAGTCGACATGGAGCACAAATCCAATCCTGTGTTCGACGGGGTGGTGTATGAGAGGAGAGCTGTGGGTTTTGAATGGGCACAACATCAGAACACCAACCCTTACGATGTGTGTTGGGAGGCGGAGTTCTACTACGATGTCGATAGATATCAGGTCCCGTTATGTGGACGTCTGGTGGGGGGACAAACCAGAGCTTTATTTGTGTGCGGGAATTTGTTTTTTTTTGGGGGGGGGGGGGGGGGGGGGGGTGTTGGTCGGTTACAAGGGAATGGGATCGTCGAAATTTTTTTTATTTTTGTTGTTGGCTTCGTGGTTTGGTCCTCCGAGTCTTCGGCTGATCGTTCGACGCAAAATAAATGACTCCATCCGCAGAATAAATGACGACTTCAACTATCTTCACCGCCATCTTGCTGGCAAATCGCACGAAGTGGGCCCTACGCCTCTCAACTGTTCGTCGCCGTCCATCTTCTCCATTGTGGCTCGCCATCACCTTACCTTCGGGAGCATCATCGTCAGCGACGAGTGCGGTGAGCAGTGCAACGTCGACACGTCCTTCCATATCGTCGTGATCATCGCGTTTGTGTGGCAAGAAGACGGCAGACGACGGTGAGAAGTGGGAGAACGGTGTAGAAGAAGCCCATGTCGATGCGGGGTGGAACCGGTGGTCGTGTCCGCGGCAGGAAACGCAATGGCATCCAGGAAGAGACAGGGGGCTCTGATAGAGGAGGGCGGCAGGTCTCAAGGGCGAAAAGGGGCCGTCAAGATGCCGCGTAAGGCAGTGGCTCGCAAATGGCATTGGATGGGTGGGGAAGACCAAGCCGGAGTGACGAGAAGGACGTGTTCACGACGGAGGACGTCCTAGGAGGGGCACATATTGTTGTGGTGCAGAGTGGGCGTGGTGGTGGATCAGCGGCGCAGGCTCCTCACCCATGCACACAGATTGACCCACCGCCGCCACCCCCGTCCAATGTTCGTGCACGGCGTGGCGGATCAACGGCGCAGGCACGAACACATGAGGAATAACTCATCAATCTAGAGCACAATGAAGATGCAAAAATGGAGGAAGCCCCAACTGGTGCTGCTGTCCAACGTGGGGGGACGTCGCAGGCAGCCGGGGGAACGACGTCGTGGCGACCAGCCACATCGACGATGACACGTCAGCAGCGCGCAGCCGAGGGTGGTGGATCAGGCTCTGCGGTCGTGGCTGGAGCGACGCTTGAAGCGATGCAGCCCCGTCTGGGCGGGTTGAATGTCGAGGCGGTGGCGGGAACATTGCGGGGGCCGTCGGGGGGAGGTCGACGGGAAGAGGAAGTGAACCGCCAGTTGGAGGGTGCACGGTTGGAGAAAAGAAACGTGGGTGGAGATGATGAACCTCTCGCCAACAGGGTACGAAAGGGGGGCGTGGCAAAAGATTTGGCAGAGCGGACGAAACTGTAGGTTGGTGATAAAACGTTTTGGACATCAGGGAGGGACACAGGCTATACAACATCATCCACGAGACAAAAGAATACCTCGTCGCCATTGCCAGTGGGCTTCCTCTCCTGGAGCTCCCCAAAAGCGTCGCCATGCCAAAATCCAATGTAACGCAGATCAGGCTCACGGATGCGGGGCAGCTGCAGGAAACTTTGAGCCGCGCAGGGAAACTTCAAAATGTGGCGTTGCATGTGTTACACGGATGGGTCTTCAAATCAGGTTCGAGAGCTAGAGGTTACACTGTCACCTTCCAGTACGCCCTCGAGTCTCTGGCGACTGACATCGCCCGCACGAAGTGGCATGGTGAGGAGTGGAGCGACGTCATCAGCCCCGCTGTGTGCGCGCATACGTTGGACTTGGGGATGGACCCGCCACTCTGGTTTGCAAGGGTGCACATAGAAGATGGACCGGATGACGACGATATGGCGGCGTACCAGGAGGCCACTGTCATGCGACTGGTCGCGACTTTCAGCACAGCGGTTGAGACGGGCCAGACCATCGACAATGGATGCATCACACACGATCATCTCTCGCGTGTAGCCGAGAGCTTCAGGCTGCTGCTCGCCGCGTGCATGTGGAAAATGCGAATGGCGGGAGACAATCTGCGATCGCACTCCGAGGCATTCTACTTCGCCAACATTCTTGCCAAGCCCCTGCTCGTTGCGTCCATGCATCGGATGTTCGATCATTGCCGACACATCGTATCTTTAATGAACGCGGTTACGGAGCGGTTGGGCAAGGCGCAACTAACATTGGGCCACTTCCCCAACTACATTCCCGAGTGGGCATCGTGCGACATCTTTTTCCACCATGACGCCAACTTATCAAGTCCTGACGATGTGAGGCGGTTAGAGTGGTTGGGGACAGGCCCCCCAGGGGGCGGCGACGATTATGCGAACGACGATGATGGTTGAACGTCGGGAGGACCATGGTGCGACGATGATGATGCGACGACGATAACGCTTTTTTTTTTGGGGGGGGGGGGGGTTGTATTGGATAGTGAAACTTTCGAAAGTGTTGCTTGCAGGGTAGGTTGCTGGTTAGGCGGTGCTCGGTTGGGTGTACTGTGCATGTTTTTTCTTCACGGGAATGGTCATGTATTGTGTCTGTTTTCGCTTTCCGGGAACGGTCAATGATGATGGATACTGATATTTCTTTTTCTTAAGCCTTTTTTCTGCACCAGTTTGCCAATCGTTGTCTGCGTTCAGCCCTTGGTTCAACAACCGTTTGATGACGTGGAGTATTAAAATGTTGTGATATGTGCAATTGATTGAGCGTTTCAACGCAATTGGTTCAACTGCTGTTTGATGACGTGGAGTGTTAAAATGTTGTGATATGTGGGCCAATATGAATAACGACACATTTCTGACCCATGTGCGATCAACCTCCTCCTCGCCATTGCATTGCGTGATTGGATTCGGGAATGCTATGATGGAAAAAGCTTTGTGTCAAACACAAGACCGCGCGACATGAATTCATGACAACTCAGATACATATAATCGAACACAAAAGACAAACGACAACCATGAAAAAAAAAAACAGTAGGTTCGTCCACCAGTTCCGAAATAAGTAATGAAAGAGAAAAAACGACACGATGAGACACAATTTCGTAAACCTTCCATCACTGTCCAAAGACATGAAAGCAATGTGTTCCGCCGTCTACCGTCCACTACCATCTACTTAGAACAACTGCGGCGCTTGAAGATACTATAACCTCGGGGAAGGGCCACACATTAAAAAGAGGCAAACAAAAAGAAAAATATACGAAATCTAGACACTTCACATCCTCGAAAAGTGACTAGCGGACAAAAAACTGCCAACCACTGTCGCTGCCAGACCACGTAAAACTAAAGAAGAATCCACAAATGACGTCGTTGACGTCTTGTAACACAGTCTCACCCACCATCCCCATCTCCCCACAAACATGGCGTGTGAACGGGCCGACGTCTGACTATCCAACCAAAGGCTAACCGTCTTATAAATAAAGCAGACATCTCCCCTGACCCTGCGAACATGGCTCTACTGCGATTCCCCCAACACTGCTACATCAATGCCAACTGGTCGCGGTGTGCGTCCCACAACAGGTCCTCGTCGACGTTCGTGCATCGTTGCCGACCCTGCATGGCGTTTCCCACAATACCCAAGTCCACTCTACGCCGGACGCTATTATCGTCGACCTCCCAAAACAGGTTTTCGCCGAACTCAATCCCCGCGCCCAGGAGGATGTTGTGGAGAGTACAAACGATGATGAATTGTTGAGGCAAGGTTTCCAGTTCGTTTTGTGGGTGCGTAGGAATAAACGCCACATGCACTTCGACTGCCCGAAGGCTCTCTCGACACAACCGCGCGCCACCTTCTGCTTCGAGTCGAAGTGCTCCTCATCGGGACCTTGGTTGATTCCTCCGTAAGACTGCACGATCCATGGACAGGCAACGGGGTAGTCGTTGTCGCTGAGAAGGTAACCTCGCGTGACGATGCCGTGCGGCAGATTCGCCGGAGGGGTGTCGAACAACTCCCCGCTTTCTGCGCGCCTCCACGAATGGGAATTGTGCAGGACATAGACATCGTGCACACTGCCTGGGTATCTGATATGGACGTCCAAGATACACAAGTCTAAATCGACGACCACCTGCGCTTGGACTGAAAACTTATGTTTGCGGTCGTCGTAGTTATCTGACGGCGCACCAGTGGGCTTGCCAATATAGATGTGCATGCAGTCGATTGTACCGTAGCAGTTTGGGAAACCCTTCTCCCGGAAAGCGCGCATAATTTGCACACGTCTCCGCCCCGTTGGCCACTTTATTGTGTATGGGTACGCCTTCAACAACGCCGAGGTGATGTCGCGGACGGCCTGCAGTCTAGTAGCCTTGCCAATGCCGAAGGATGACGTGCTGCTCTCGTAAGTCTCCCCAGATGCCCACCTGTAGAACGCGAATGCAATCACCTGCTCCATAGGCAATGGCAGCCTGTAATGTGTGACCTTCTTCTCCACATACGCGGCGAATGCGCTGCATGAAGACTGGCCTCGACATATGCATCTTCTCGCGGAAATAATCGTCACTCGCGTCGTCACAGACGAAAAGATCCGCCCAAGTTCTGCCTGTCCTTCGCTTTATCCACCATCGCGGCGTCTCGCGCGGAAAGACGCCAGCGAAGAGCGCCGAACACAGTTGCGCGACCGCTTCAGACGTGGCCACGCAATCCGGAGCTTCAACCACGCATTGCAACAATGCTTTACACTTCCGCAACTGCAGACGCATTTCGCGTTGTGAGGACGACCTGCCGCTCATCGTGTTCACAACAACGGCCATCACCACCAACCCCACAGTCTCCCGCTCTTCATCACACAGCGCATGGCTGCCGCCGCGAACGTCCAACTCCATCGCCCGTTCGAGTCTCACGCATAACGCCTGTGCTCCTCGCCACAGAAGAGCCCGCTTGTGTTCCCTGCAACGCAACACTTCACACGCCACAGATGACTCCGCACGCCAGCGAAAGAAGGCTCCCCATGAGTGGGGGATCAGCAGCGCCGTCTTTTGTATGTCATACATGTCCACTGCCCGTCCTCCTGCCCGCCTCCCTACGTCCGTGAAAACTCGAATTCGAATTTTCGAATGCCTGCCTCCACGCGCTTTTCACCTCCCCTTCATGAACCGGAGAGGGCCCACTGCCCTGTGTACCACGGACACGAGGCTGCAATGGGCGGACATCATCGGTGCGGCTCCGTATAAGTATATGAAAACATGCCGCGGGAGACCCTTTAGGACAGTTCCTAAAAGCTTTTCTTTAGGAATGCGTGTAACCACGCCGCAGCAATTCCTAAAATACTTTTAGGACTCGTCCTACACCTTTTAGGAATCCCTTAGGAGCGTCTAACGAGACCCTTACTCGCAACATTTCATTGTGTCAGCAAAGGAGGCCAGAAAATACAAGGGGGCTGAGTCCCACCACCGGGGCCAAGTCCCACTAGCAGCATTGAGTTTCCTTGATGCCTGAATGTGGACGTGTTTGAGGAGATGTGCAGAAGTCGCGTTGTGTTTTCTCAACCGCACAGCTCCGCAAACACATCCAGATTCAGGGGTTGGAGAAACTCAGTGCTGCTAGTGGGACTTGGCCCCTGTAGCGGGGACTTAGACTTGGTTTTGACTGCACACCGGTTCCTACCATCCAATCTGAGAATTGCATGCCACAGGACCATTACCCAGCTTACGTGCACGCCTGAAGGAAATTACGTTAGAAACAGACATGACCATCCGGGGGCCAGGCCCATATATCACCCGTGGGCCCTTTGCCGCAAATTTCGGGGGGATGAATTTCATCAATGGCCCGCACTCGTTCGTTTTTTGGCGCCCAGGGCATCCCAAGCGTCGGAGTGCCTCGGAAAGTCACGGCGCGTTACACCGCACACAAAACGTGAAAAACAGCCGAGTAAAGGATGGATTGGGGTCCTGTGACTCAGTTGGTCAGGCACGCAAGTGGCATTCAGTAGGTCATGGGTTCAATCCCCGCCACACCACCTGGGGCATGCTCCGTGCCAATCACCTGAGATAGCACTGGCATGTTCGCTGTACCAAGCTGTGCCAGATTGTTTCGTCGGATTTTCACTGACTCATCGAGAGGTCCAACCCTATTAGCCTCGTCTCTTCAGGGCAACCATGGCTGACAGCTTCCGGCAATCAATGTGAGCCTAGTAACTGGCCTCTACAACACCCTGGACTCGCCCAGAGTTTGCAGTATATAAGCTAACCTTTACAAAATCCAGCCATAATCTATATGTCCAGACTCCAGGGATGAGGTCCTGGCGCTTCAGGCGTTAGTAATGTCAATAATGTCAGAAGGACGAAAGGAGATCTTTAGTTTTCTGAATTCTGTTCATATTCTGAAGTTTGTCGTAGTCATTTTCTAAGTAGCTTCGTTTTTTTCTGAGCCAAAGCCGGGTAATGGCCCCAGTATCTCAATCTTCAAAATTATATGTAAATTTCCATATGGGACGCTGGGCCCGGTTCCCAGCACGTGCTGCTCCCCACGAATAGATTGGAGCTTTGTTCCAAAAAAAAGAAAAAAAAAAAAAAGAAAAGAAAAAGAGATCTTCATGGCACCTAGGCAGGTTATGTATGGGACACTGGACCCGGTTTCCAGCTTGTATGGATTCCACGTGGCTCAGGAGAAAGGAGGAACTAGTGTGTAGCGATGTATCGGGCGCGGGTTTCGGGATGAAGAGGTTCCCCTTTCCCCCTAACATTCTGCTCAGTCAATCCCCTGGAGCACAGTGCAATCAATGCTGGCAAGAATTCTCCCACAATTGCTTCTCTGATGTATCCAATTTCAGGTTGTATAAGGGACGCTGGACCTGCTTTCCAGCAGGTGATGCTCCCCACCAATAGATCGAGCCACTCCCCAGGTGCTAGTGGTGTCTGCTCTTATCAGCGCCACTAGCACTGGAGGGGGTTTTGAAAAAAAAAAAAAAAAAAAGAGTTTGCAGTACCCCTAAACAAAAGTGGTCCACTTTACTCACACCAACCCTGCAATCCGAGCGGACTGTGGCTCCAAACCCCTGACATGTGTGTGTGTGTGTTGGGGGGGGGGGGGG